ATATACAAATAGCCTAGCTATTATAAAAAAAAAACCAAGTCGATAAATTATGATTGGAGCTTCCTTTCAGGTGCACACCAGCCCTCAAACAGTGTAAAACCTTACCTAGTCTGAGTAAACTAGTACCTGGATGACCTATAAATTGTATCGATTCTACTATTTAGGTCATGCGCTGAAGGTCATTAGTCCTGCGCCGAGTGAAAATATCGATCTGAGGACCAGGTAGCTAGGTAGATGCACTAGGTCATTCACCCTAAGTGCAACATTGAGATGTTTCTCTAAATCGGATTAAAATGAGTTTTGTTTGTAGGAAAAGTTAGGATTATCTACGTTTCATTATTTTTTTAAACCGTGGATGCATTCACATAAGCCCATTCATATGCCACTCAAACCCGAAACAACAATTTTTGGATCATTCACATATGTAGGTACATAAGCCCCTCAAACCCGAAACATTTGTGGATCACAGTGTTGTTCCGAGCGGGAATCAAACCTGCGACACGTTTTACAGCAGCCAATTGCCCTGCCACTTAGCCAACCGTGCAGAAATGATGACTCATCACCATATTCATAAAACATTGATCCAAACTCCTTAGATAACCAATGATAACTAAGACACTAGAGTACCTATTCGATTTATATTGGTTTCGAAGTTTGGATCAAAGTTGCAGGGTCAAAGTAAACCGAATTTACGTCAGAAAATCATGAAATGATTCTCGCCCAGACTTTTACTGACTAAAAACCATCCCTTTCCTTTTCCTGCTTCAGCCCGAGGCTGCTGTTCCTTTTATTGCGCTCGAGCCGCAACTCCGGGTGAAATAACTATTAATAGCTTGTTTTTTGTTCCAATAGCTTAACAAGGCTCGTCAGGGATAGAAAAACCGATTAAAATATGCATACATAAAAAGATGTTGAGATTCAGGAAAAGAAAACAAAAAGTTTAAATATTATTTTTTTATTTCTCAAATTAATATTATTTTACAATATATGACGATTTCATCTGCTGTAGGTACCTATAGATATATATATAGATATTAGTGTAATATTGTATATTATATAATAATATTGTTTTGTGAGTATAGATAGCAGTTTTAATGGCAGACATGTTTTGAACATACTAAGGTAGGTACTACTATAAGCTCGACTCATGCAAAATAACATTAGGTACTACCTATATTTCACAAATGTTCTTTCTGTGTTACTGCACGTTATAAAGCTTTATTAAATATTTAAAATAATTATATGCAAAAAATCCTTATGAAATTTGTAATCTCACAAAAATATTTATACATAGAAGTCTACAATACAATATTTCTCTCAATCAGTCCAAAATCGCAATTCCAAAAAATGTAACAACATTTTTTTTGCTAGGTAATTCCTCGTTGAACTTTTTAAATCTATGAAACAGAACAGCAATGCAGTGGGTAAATTATTATATTATTTAAAAAAAAATATGTATTTATTGTAGTAGAGTACACAAAATTACTCTTTCACTAGCTAATCTCACGCGGTTTCGGTTCCCACTGCTCAGCTCCTACAGATCATAGTTTGATGTTTAGTAACCTTCCTCGATAAATTAACTAAGAAACACAAAATAATTGTTAAATTCGAAAAAGTAATTCTGGACATTAGCGCGTTCCAACAAAAAAACTCCACAACTTTATTATATTAAGTATAGATTTCAGAATAATAATTTGGTACCTCTTAAGTCAATTAATATGTAGATAAACATGTACTAAATATTTTTAAATGTACATTTTTATATTAAATTCCAATATAAATAGACAATGTTTAAAATAATAAAGATTAAGTATTAATTATGTAAGTAAATATATAAATTTTGAAAAATGTAATTTTTTTTTGCTATAGTTTATTTTTAAATGACATAGGACGAATATTTTTCTGTTGGCAATTGACTGTAGATGTATATAGGTTGTATTACAAATTGGATAGGGAAAAATATCATCAATTTGTTGGACTAATATGTAGTTTCTATCGGACGAATTGAGGGCTCCGGCCTGAAGAAGAAGAAAGGAAGAAACGGGAAAAGGACGGGCAAAATTCAAGCCACCCCCAATCTAGCTTCATTTTAAGAATTGCATGATTAAATTTATTTTTTGGATCGCTTGCCAAATAACTTTTAGATAAAAACGGCTATTTTATGTTCACAGGTGATAGTGTACTAGAATACACTCATACACCTACAGTAAAAGAATTGACTGCACGGTTGGCGCGGTGGCTGGGCTACTAGCTACCGTGCAGCGTGTCTCGGTTTCGACTCCGCACGGAACAACTCTTTGTGTGATCCACAAATTGTTGTTCCGGTTCTGGGTATGGTGTGTATATGAAATTGTATGTTTGTAAATTCAGTCACGACACAGGACGAAACCCCAGAAAAGGAGGGCAAAGCTTTTTTTTGTTATCAAAAAACAATGTTATCTTTCCTCTTTATAGATTGAAATTTCAGCGAAATATTCGTCGCATGTTGTATGTGTGCTTAACTACTAAGTCGGCAGTGTAGGGGTTCAATAAAAACGCACGCATGGAATTACATTTTACTGTTACATTTGTATTATTATTGGACAAGGAGACTTATTATATGCATGTATATATATATTAATATATTTTTATAGTAAATATAAAAAGGTAAGCTTAGCTTTTTAAATAAAAACTCCTTTAAATGTTGTGATTTAGTATCTGTATATTATTTATACATACGTAAGTATTATATTAATATATTTTAAAAATAAAATTTTCTGAACATTTTTTTACATAGCACCTGCGCACGTATGAGCAAGAGAGCTTAACTATAGTCATTAAAGCTTCGTCTCTAGACAACAAATGATAACCGATTGAAAAACAACCATAAATCAAGATGATAAGAGTCAAAGTCCTTCCTTGAACTTGGAGTTCTACTAAGATTTTTGCATGGCAAGTAGCCTCACTGGCGCCACCTAGTGAGTGAAACTTTTAAAGCAATAATATGTTTACAATATCAACTTATTTTTAAATTACAGAATGTTAAATATATACAGGTTATCTGTCGGTTTTATAAAATCACGTATTTTCTTTAAATAAAATATAAAGTCATATAAAAATTTACGAACATCTCAATAAGGAAGTTTTTATGAAAGTATGACGTTACAATCGACTGCCATTTGTTGCCCAGTAAACAATGGTTAATTAAAAGATCTTTGCAAATAAAAAAGAGTATAAAATATTGGTCCGAACACGCACTTAAATAAAACCAATACGACTAGCAGTGCGTTGTACTGAAACGATTTGGGTGTGTATAAATTACGTCACACATAAATGATATCTGAGGAATAAAATTGTTGCTGTCGCTGTCTTATACAAACATTCTGACGCGACAGCATAATAGTTATTCCCAAATAACTTTTATCCAACCATTGAAAAATCAGCCCTAAGTCAAGCGGAATAAGGTACCGCGGCCTAGGCCAGGAGAAGGGATGGTTTTTAGTCAGTAAGAAGTAATAAGAGAGAACGTACCTGACGATTTACTCCACAAAAAAACACTTGACATATCATTTCAAACTTTGAAAGGCTTGTTTGACGTTTTGACATTATGTCAAAATATCTGTCAAACTTTATTGACATTGACGAGTGTCAAAATAAATAGGAATACAAAATAAAATAAATATTTCTCTTTTTGTTAAATTGTTATTTTGATTTATTTTTCAGGTTGTAGTACAGTGCCGGTTGGAAACAAAGTAAGATTCATGATTCTGACAACTCTTAGAGTTTTTATATCTTGAAAGTATTTTTTTCATGTGGTAGGACTGGAGGCTGGCTGATGGTAAGCAATCGGCGTAGTCGGTCGTTGCCGGCCTTTTGGAGGATGGGATTTCGGAGATTTTGGAGAGGAATGACAATTGGACCTCCATATTATGTCAGTTTTACGTTTTAACTTTTAGCTAAGCTTTTCTTTCTGGTGACGTGTGACGTAATTTAAAAACAACCCTTACATGCATGACTGAAAATTAAACTAAAAACTAAGTTAATAATAATAAAATGATTTAATTATTATTATTTAAAATAATATTATACATAATTTTACATTATACATCCGTCGATTAATTGTAGAGAGAATATGTTTTTAACAATCCCATGGCGATCTTTTAGAATTTTTATATAATATTTTTTCCAATAATTAACAATTCCGATACTTAATTACATTTTTGTCTTTAGATTTATTCATTATGTTGTAACATCACTCATGCAACTCCCATTAGGGATAAGCAGAGGTATATTTTATGTGGTTAAAATATACCTCCTTATAACTCGTGTAAAACGATCATCTTCATAATTTACTAATGAATAAATAATTAAATTATATTTTTTTCTAATTTCCTTATAATTATACTATATGCATAATATAGTTGCACATGACATACTGGCGAATCTGGTCAAGACCATTTAACAATTTGACAAAGTACTTCGATTAGTTTCGACTTACACCTGGGGCCCATAGTAATGTTATACGAAGCGATGAGCTTTACGCAAACAAAAAGCTACTTGTGTGTTTGTGTTTGGTAAATCAGGCATAATATGTTCCACGATAGTTACTAACAGATACAATCTAAAATTTAGTTAAAAAAAGGAGAAAGGAAGAAAACATATGAAATGCAAGACGAAGTGTCATAAAAAAGAATAACAACCAAGAATTACAACCTAAATTTTGCTTAAAACACAAAACTATGAATAAACCTAAAGACTTAAAAATAAAAAAAAATGTGATACAACGCCGATTTATTAACAATTTGTTCTGTTGTGAAAAAATCTTAAACATTATACCCAACATTAGAATTTATAACGAGATTCCTACTACATGTATTGCTTCAAAGATATTATACAAACATTTTATTAATATTTCAGTCGTTAATAATACACAGTAACACTCCAAAAGCGAAAGCCTCTTGAAAGTTAATGATATCTATCGTTTTTGATCAATAGACGATTTTCTAAGGTATAGACTACAATGATAGGACAAAAATCAACCTTACGCTACATCAACGCCATCTAGTAAGAAAAAAAGACTGTTAGAACCTTAGTCCTGATTGTGAACAGTTGATCAACGCGGAAATATCCTGTTCACTAGTATAAAATACAAAAATACGGCAAATATCCCGTGTTTTGAATAAAAACTTAAGAGTTGACGCTACCCATGAATAAGAGTCCCGTTGCGACTTGAAACTAGTCGAGCTTTTCTCAGTTATTAATTTTCACGTTATTTTCAGTAAAAATATCCCGTTATAAATTCTAATATTAGTGACTAAGTCAGTTTAGGTACTTATTCTATCTAGTAGCGTGTGTTTTGTTATTCTTCTGAAGCTGTAGGCAGTTCGGGTCGGTTGCCTACACCGCCCGCGAGGTCGAATACTGCTTGACATACTTCCGCTGCTAACGTGTCTGCTTTCTGTGGAAATTAAATTATAAGTAAGTAATTTTGTACATTTCAGAGCAGAAAATTATCATTCGCAACACCACCTTTTGAACCTTATTTCTAGAGTGATTAAGATGATAATGGATTACGATATTATTAAAATATTTTCAAAACTTTTATTAAGATGTTAGGTATTTATTCATGTTTAGCCGGGGTTGCGGGGTAAGCGCAATGAAACACCGCGGCCTCGGCCTAGAGCAGGAGAAGGAACGGGGAGGTAATTTTAGTCAGTAAGAGTCTGACACTCCCTCCCGCCCGACCCTGAGCGGGAGAAGTCATTTTACAATTTTCCCCTCACAAAAAAAGTTCATTTATGTACAATTGTACATATTAGTGTAGTGTAGCCAACATATGAATTGCTATTTGTAAAATGATTGGGAAGAATTTAATTAACAACATTGACAACAGCATTATACATATTTTGATAGGCACCCTTGTATAATAAATTAAAAGCAAGAAAAATTAACATCATTCACAAGCTCTCGCATTCCTCATGCACTCCAATAAAATTTCCTTCCATCCATACGTCAAAAATCTCAATTACGAGATTTAATAAATCCCTGCTACTTTCTTCTATTTTTCGTGAGATACTAGAAATAGGAATCAATGTGGGAGAGCAATGCCACGTCACAGACGGATCAGCTCGACCAGAGTGATACCACGACTCACAGGCGGAAAATACCGCTTGCGTTGTGTTTCGACGCGTGAGCGATTGGGCTAATTGGTAATTCCTCATCACAATCCCAGGAATAGAACATTGAATATTGCTACAAACCCAATTTTTCGTCCTAAAAATCAATACGCGACGCCAATTGCCTACCATCAGATAATAGGCCCGCTAGTTTGCCACCATTTTCCATTAGATAATAATAATAATAATCTACAATACATACCAATTGAGTTTCAGCCTCTGCATATACTCTAACAATATCTTCAGTCCCCGAAGGCCTAGCGAAGGCCCTTCCACTGGAATACTTTGCCACCAGCTCGTTGATGCGTTCTTGTAATCCTTCAGGAGTTGTGCACTGACGTTCCGCGTCAGTCGTTTGGATTGTGTTACGGTCCTGGGGAGGAAAATAAATTCCGTTTTTATTTTTTTTTATTTACTTATGAAACTCGGAGTCAGGACTCTTGAGGTTAGGTTTACCTACGAATGTTATAAACTAGCTCCTTTCGCGTGGTTCCACCCGCTGTTCGCCTAGTATAGCCTTCCTGGGTTAATGGAGTAACAAACATAAAAATAATGGTTCATGTGGAACCAGTAGATCCTAACATTTGCGCATTCAAACAAACTCTACAGCCTCATAATACTAGTAAGTATAGATTACAAAGTTTGTGAGAATGTATTGATGTATGTTTGTTATTCTGATGGACCGATTAAGTATGCGGATACCCTGGATTAACACATGACTGCTCTTTGTCAATAAACCACGCGGGCGCAGCCGCGGGTGAATACTAAATAGGAGTCGAGCAGTGGGTAACTGCGCGAGAGTATAGTTAGTATATAATGTAATGTTACCTTGACGGTAACCTTGAGCTGCCTGCAAGGCAGGTCCCGGTAGAGCTGCATCCAGTGCAGGGCGGACATGCCGCGCGCGCAGAGCACTGTCTCCACCAGTAGGAGGTCAGATATAGCGTCGCCCACTGTCTCGTTCGTCATCTCAATAAATTGCATTAGTAGCTTCGCTGCTTCGCGGGGCTCTGGGTCGCTGGAATTAAAAGATAAATTTATTTATTTAATTTATTTAATAAAAAAGGTTTACCAACAGCTTCTGTGTAGATAACACTTAAAGTACATTTTTTACATTACTAGGACTTACACAGTTGCCAATTATAGGTTAACCAACATTTACAAACTAATGATAGGATAAGTACCTACATACCAGCAGAACTAAAATGAGTAACATGTATCCAATATTAGAGAATTGTACCAAGCTATGCAAACAATGAAACAGATATTATTAACGCGAACACAAACAGAATCAAAGACGTTACAGACATTTTGTACATAAAAAAATAAAAAATAGTTTAATAACGGTGTGGCATAGTAGGATTGTTTTTATTTGGATATAGGTTTAATAGTTTTAATAGCGGATTTTTTATTGCATAGGGCGTAAATGAGCACCTGGTGATAAGCAATCGGCGCCGCCAAGTACAAGTGCGTTGCCGGCTTTTTGGGTGTAGTTAGGTACGTGAGGATTGGGGGTTTGGGGATTGGATATGGGGGTAGGGCGGGAAAGATAAGGCTTCCGTACCCAAACCCTAATTGGTGGAGTTTTTTTGTGAGTCCGTGTTATCACTCCAGTCTGTTCATGCCAGTCGTGTCTTCTAGATTATATAGTATACTTTATTGACCATATTTTATTCTTTTCGCAAAGTTCGCGGGTATCGATAAAGCCTATTAAGTGACTACTTATTTCCTTTTTATGTCACTGGTCGGCACAAATATTTTGTTAATACTACAACACTATAGTACAGAATTGTCTTTAAATACTTTATTTTAATTTCACATGAGTATTTTCTTTCGCGGTTTGAAAGCGTTTAGGAACATACTAATTTACATAAGCATACTAATTATAAATTACACACAGATTCAGTAAATTCTGGACTACACTAAGAATTATCCTGTGCGGGAATCGACTCACTAACTCGTTGCACAGCAACCGGTTACTCAACCACTGCGCCAACCTTGCAGGCAATAAATAAAGAGTGAAAATAAAGCCTCACCCCTCCTGAGCTATCCTCCCGATGACCTTCTTAGCCTTACTGCTGTACAGTACGGTGCCGTGTCCGTTGGCCTCGAAGTACACGCCGATGTCGTACTTGTGTGCAGCGCTGTGTAAGTGTTTCACTCCGGTCTTAACACATTGTACTGGTATTTTCTGAAATAGAGGAAAAAAATAGGGTGAATAATATTGATAATAATGATAATTTTTATCACGGTTTTTGTTGATGTAATGAAATAATTTGCGCAAAACACACAAACAAAAAGATATCGAAATGATACAGAGCGGTTTAAAAAAAAGTAGACTATCGACGACAACTGTAAAAATCTATGAAATCTTTTGTAAGTTTTGTCGTAAAATTTGTTTTGGCGTTTACTTTTTAAAAACCTAATTGCGTTTATAAACCTCTCCGTAATAAACCTCTTCAGTAAGAAAATAAAAGGCATTTGAAAAGATGACAAAAAAAGTTGACCTATTTTCGCGTTAAAAATATACCAATAAAATCGAAAAACCCAATCCTTCCACTCCTCTAATAAGGTAATAATAATAATTTACCTCCCTAGAAAAAAGTAAATTATTAATGAATTACTTACAAGTGTGTCAGTGATATATTTGGTTGAAGCTCCGTTAGCGTACGCAGTCTGTACGATGCCCAGCTGTATCTCCGTAGTCTTGCAGCGCTGCAGCAGCTCAGTGATGTACGACGCGAGTAATGTGGCAATACGGTCTCCGTCTAACAGATGCATTTTTTCCCTGGAAAAAAGAAATATTTTGAGAGTGAGCTATCGCTTACTATACTATACTTTTTCAGCGTTATTTGATAAAATAAGGAAGAAAATAGCGCGTATTTTTAAACGGTTTTATTTAGCTCACCCCGTTTGTTTTATTTATTCTTGGGTCAAATTTAGTAATTCAAATTTCACCCTCTTCCTGTCAACCGATTAATCTGAAATTTTGTATACACTTTCGATTTTGATGACAATACAATTATGTTTATTTCAATGTTGCTATCGATCTGAGCTTTTGACCTGTGTTTTTATGCATTATGCAATAAGCGAATCCGTCAGGGATTACCTGATGGTAAGATCAGAGCCGCCCATGGACACCCGCACCAACGGTAGTTACGAGTGCATTGCCTTTTGAGGATTAGGGATTTGGATTTTTTTGGGATTGGACCTCTGGTAGTCTCACTCACAAGGCGAAACACAACGCTGTGGTTGTTTCACGCCGGTTTTCTGTGAGGCGTGGCTTTCCCACACTTAAATTGCGGGAATTGAACATCCGCGACACTTTGCATCTCGTTGCCCAGCCACCGTATCGCAGCGCAGTACTACGGGCGAAGTTGTTCACAGAAGTTAATAAAGTACATTATATAACTGTTGTCCTGGTGGGTCGGATGATGAGGAGCCTTCTCATGCATGAGAAGCATAATCAAAATAAACTGAAATGATGTTTAAAGCCTGGTAAATACCAATGTGACTTTTTCCGAGTTATATGTACTTTCTATGACCATATGGACACCACTAACATACGGCGAAAGAAAACAGCGTGAGGAAACTTGGGACTTATAATTTCTAATTATAAGTTGAAATCGAAAATTCTCCTTGAGCAAGCGTGGTGATTAATGCTAGAGCCTTCTCCGTGTGAGAAGAGGCCTTTGCTCAGTAGTGGGCACTTAAAGGCTGATGATGTGGTGTGATGTGATGTGTGAACTTACTTGTCATCAGTATAATAGTACACCAATCTGTCTCCATCTCCGTCGAGGGACGCGATACGTTGGTACGGCGTGCTCGGTATACCCTTAGCTGGAGTCTGTGTCACTTTCACATGGTCAGCTCCGCACTGAGGACCAGAGAGAACATAATGAGATCCTATAATAGTGTTCATTTAATGTTAACATTTAAAATTGAGTAGTTTACTATGAGAAAAACAAATTATTTTGACTTTTAAATTCAATGAATTATTAAATTAGTCTCATTGATTGATTTGTGAATAGACTTAATATTAGATTTTCATAGTTATATTTTCTGCAATAAGTATACTATTTGAGGTAAAACCATTAATAGAATAGTATCATTTTAAACATTTCAATAACAGTATTAAATTTAACCGTATTTAAGATTTCTATTAAGTATCGCATCGACTTTATTTATAAACGAATATTACTTTCCTTAGTTACATTAACCGAAAGTTAAACAATCTCCAATTTATTAAATTCATTTCAGACGAAAAATTAACATATAGTAGGAAAAACCAAAGAAAACACTAAATAACTCATATACGACAGTCCCCTCCCATTATCCCCCCCAATCTTAAAATCCTCAGCAATCCACAAAACGAGTTAAACAGTTACGGATGAACAAGGGCCGTCTAATAGTTTGCCATAAAGCGGCCTGTCAGCTCAACTTATCCAAAAAGAATCACACAAAAACAATACTTACACCTAAATTAAGTTTCTCTCCAGAACCGCCCAAGTTAAATAGATGCAATTCAAGTTCGTCTTCGTCGAAGTTTTTCTTCACATTCTTTAATTTCTTGCCTCCAACGCCGTTAGCGCCATCTACATACAAACAAGGGGAGTATTCCCCAATAGTTGGTAGACTCTTGCGCATGTTCTTGTATGCGCCTATGATTTTCTCGTAATATCCTGAAACATGATAGAAAAATTAAATTAATTTTGGCAATATTTTTACCAGTTTAGAAATGAGTGAAATATCTGTTAATTGGTATATGGCGCCTTCCAAGGATACACAAAGAGCTAGAGGATTAACAACTCGGCGTTGCCGACTTAGGAATTGATAGGGATTTGAAGATTGGGCCTCCGGTAACGACATTCACATGGACGCAACAACAATCGCAAGCTTTACTACTTTCACGACGGATTTTTGTAAGGCCTTCGTATGTGTCGCTTCGCTCTGATCGAGTGGGCCCATTCGTGCCGAAGCAGGGCTCTCCCACACTTAAACGTTAAAAGGGATTGATTTAGTATGACGATTATTTTCGGTTAGTGATTTATCATATAAAATTAATTTTGTCATAGTATTTCGCTTTGCGTTAGCCTATCTTTTTGAAATTTTAATTTATATAATAATTTACTATTTTTCTTGCTGGGAAATACACGGCAAAGATAAAAATACAGGTAAAAGCTTGTTAAAATAAAAAAAAACTCATGTTTGTTTGTGCGGAAAGAAAATAATAAGAATTTTCATACAAAAAAATTACATAGTAGAAGAAAATTTACATGATTATGAACTAGAGCGCTTCGCAGTTATTTTAAAACGCGTTCAAATAAATCACAGGTCGTTGACCTAATATTCATAAATGTGAGTGTCGCCATTTGAATATACGAGCCCTGTGCCAAGCAAAACACTATTAGTTTCGGTTTAGAACTTAAGATCGAACCAAAGTTCGTAAAAGTGGATAAAACTAATCGTATTGATGTTGAATTTTGTCCATCTTTTATAATACACACGCGAATGTTTGTAAATATGTATGGGATTATGGACAAATATTTGTTAAACACTCTTTTACTTAAAAAATACTGATTGGATCTAAATAAAATTTGGTACAGAGAGAAAATTAAAGTATTTTAACCGTGATACGCTAGTTACCGAATACTTTTGGCTGCTGTTCAAACAATTACATCCATTGAGTACTAGAATAGTATACTACAATTCACTATTGTTACTGTTCACTATCACTCACTAACAATCAATACTTGCCAACTGACCCCATTGTTTAGTTGCAACATTCATTATTCGTCGCGGTAGGTCGGTGGTAAGTTTTTTTTATATATGATAGGCCGGCAAACGAGCGGACAGATAACCTCATGGTAAGCAATTGGCGCCGCCCATGGACATCCGCAACCATAGAAGAGTTACGAGTACGTTGCAGTCCTTTGGTGATTAGGTTTTTGGACATTTTGGCGATTAGGGGAGGCGGAGAATGGGGTCTGCGGTAACCTAACTCACTCGACGAAACACAACGCTGTGCTTGTTTCACGCCGATTATGTGAGGCCGTGGTTTCACTCCCCTCGAGTCGACCCATTCGTGTCGAAGCACGTCTCACCCACATTTGCCAAAACCTAGCAAGTATCGATGTGACTTTTTCCAAGTCATATATGTATACTTTCTAAGATTATTTAGACAATACGGAAATACGGTGAAGGAAAACATCGCGAGGAAATGTGGACTTACAATTGCTTGTTATAAATGTGAAATCGGTAAACCGCGAGTACGTAATTAATCAAAATAGTGATTTCTAAATCGATTCATTTGAGGATTTTCATGTCTGAATGGTTATAAGGTTTTATAACGAAAAGTAATACGAGTAAATTTAAGTTTATAGGTTGCTTGCGATACTGCGGACGGGGAGCTAGGGTAGCTCGCTTCCCGACTAGAACCAGATCCGCACGTACGGCGCATAGCGTTCCGCGCGCGCTTCAAAAGTAAATGGACCACCATTGACGATCCTCGTACACGAGCAACTGCACCAACCGTGTACTAAAGTCAAGCCAAATCAGGGTTGATGTGTTTTTTATTTATATTTATAAATACTACCTACCTTCTTCGGTGGGAGTTCCGTAGGTATTATCATTGCGGCATTTGACGAAAAAATGCAACATAGGTGTGGTCACAATGCCGAACTCTTTCGGTGTCCCCTTCAGAGCTATCACGCCATTCGCCGCTGCTGCAGCTAGTCGAGGACTTGTGTACCTGAAGAAAGTTTAAGATAAAGTTTTGAGTAAAATAAAAATTAAATTTGTTCAAATAAACGTTCAGTTTTAGGATACTTAATTTAAAATTTTATTTTCTGTCTTTCGTTGAATAACAGTAATGAAACAGGCGTTGAGTCTCGAAAATTTTCCATTTATTACATAAGAATAATTGGCCGTACATTTTTTAAATATAAATACTAGCAAGTGTTCAATGGAACCTGTTCTTATATTTAAAAGTAAATTACTGCAAACTCATTAATTTGCAGTAATTTACTTTTTATTTCCATTCGCTCACAATGATCAATTACGATTTTGTAGATGTTTGAAAAGTTTTCTTATTTATTTTTTTTGTTACAATTATCTAAGTACCATATTTTAATCCTGCCAAATTTTATTTGCAATTTACATACACATCACACTAGACTTGTTTCGTGCGGGAATCGTACCCGCGACACGTTGCGCGACGGCCAATTGCTCTCATGTTTTATTGTTATATTTACCTACTCCTTGCTCTTGACAGAACTACTGACTGTTACCAACAGTAAAAAACTAAAATATATTATTGTCTTAGCGGAATGTAGCGTGAAAGTGACCTTCGTTCCGTCTGTTTGTAACTTGGCATTTATGTAATGGCATTTACATTTATGATTCCTATTCAACTTGTTTCAAGTTTGTACCTATCTTTCTTTGGGGGAATTAAGTATAAATATTCTGTATTACTTTCCTACTTTGGTAAAAAGAGTTAAGGTTTTTTTAGATTAATTAAATTATGGTAAAAGCACTCCAGCCTAGACGAGAAGTTTTAAACGCTTGATACAATTCCATTGTTTTAGGGCTGATTTTACAATGGTTAGATAAAAGTTGTCTGGGGAATAAATTATGATGCTGTCGCATCAGAATGTTTGTATAAGACAGTGACAGCAACAATTCTATTCCTCAGATAACATTTATCTGACTATCGAAAAATCAGCCCTTAATGTTTTTTTCGATTATTGAATAACTATTTTACAAAGACACATTACAATTTAGTAGTTACCTAATACAATTCAATTCATTAAACCCCAAAAGAATGCGTTTACGCACCTATTGTTTTACTATTATGCCTCTAATTACCACGATTGAAAATTAAAGAAATGAGCTTGTTGAAAAGGAAATCCTATTACCTATCATGATATATGGTGCATGGTCTACCTACCTGGTATCCATTCCAATAAATACGCTGGCTTTGAGGGTCATATCAGCCTGAACCTCCTGTATGATCTCCATAGTCGTCGCTTCCAAGTCATTGTCACTGAAATAAAAAAAAAGAAAAACTGTTTTAAAAATGAAAGAAAGAAAAGAAAGAAAGAAAAAACATTTATTTAGAATACGAATATATCCATCTCAAATATGGAAAATTGACGATAATTATCTATGGCATTTTCAGATGTGGCTACTCTACTATAACCCATGCCCTACCGAGGTCGCGGGTGCAAGCGCAAGGATTGGTAGACCAAAGAGTTATTAATATAATTATGTAGTACACCGCGACCTGGTTCGGAGAACGAGATTGGAATGGGGCGGTTTTAAGTCTGTTGAAATCCATCCCCTTAATCCCCAATCAAGTTACAGGGTCGATTTCCCGAAAAAAAAACCTATATCTGCGACTAAACACGTGTCGATGTTGTTTCGCATGATTTTACATAATCCATAGGCAAAATTAAAATACGAAGAGCAGCAGCATTTTGTGGGTTAACGCAAAAGCAAAAGTCAGAGGATTGGGTAAAGAGGGGAATGACCCAGCCTCCGGAATGTCACTCATACAGTGATTGTGCCCATACAGTGACGCCTAATTTTTACGAGGCATCCCTCTGGTTGAGCCGGTCCAATAGTGCCGAAGCATGGCTGTCCCACATCAAAAATGTGATAGAGCCCAATTCCTTCCCTCGTCTATCCCCAATTTTATGGAAAACCACCAAAAGGCCGGTAACGCACTTGCAACTTGTCCATAGGGCATTGCTTACCATAATTAATTCGTATAGACGCCTTACGACATAACATAAACTATCATTGTTAACTAATTAATCCAAACACAGTGTAACGAATATTGTCACAGCACAGTTCCTTTCCAATTGAATGCACTATTCATTCAGGTAATTAACTAATTCATTTGACATAAGGAAACGGAGAAACATGCTATTGTGGGAGTAATGTGGGCTTGGATTGCTTACAATGCGTTCTTTATACGTCTAGCTTTAGTTCCCTGTTTTAAATATACGATTCAATTATTATTCTATAGTTACTAGCGACCCGGCCCGCCTTCGTAGGGGTGCTAAATACACTAAATTACTCCACTATATAATGGATGTTATTATACACATTAACTTTCCTCTTCAATCCTTCTATCTATTAAAAAAACCGCATCAAAGTCCGTTGCTTAGTTTTATAGATTTAAGCAAACATTGTGATATAGGGACAAAACGAGACTTTGTTTTAAACTATGTGTAGAAATTGTGTAGTTAGAATATAGTTATTTTTCAAGCTTAGCAACAGGCGATTTGATGACTGCATCTGGATTGAGAAGTGTGGGAGAGCCATGCTTCGCACGAATCGGTCGGCTCGACCGGAGTGATACCACAGTCTCACGGAATACCAGCGTTGTATCGCCGTGTGAGTGAGGTTACCGGAGGCCCAATCCCTCCCCTTCCCCTATCTCTTCCCGATCCTTTTATCCGCAACCCCTATCCCCAAAAGGCCAGCAACGCACTCGTAACCCATTTGGTGTTGCGGGTGTCTATGGGCGGCGCCGATTGCTTACCATCAGGTAATCAGTCTGCTCGTATGCCGACTTATACCTACCATAAAAAAAATTACGACAATCCTCATTGTATAGTGTCTTATAATCGTATCTCACCTGACGTTAGCAAGTTTCGTCGCAATAGCCTCCCATTCTTCTTCCAGCATCTCACCATCGGGGTCAACCAACTTCACACCGTTGTCGGGTTCCAAATTGTGCGATGCGGTTATCATCATTCCTATTGTGCGACCTGAAATATACAAAGCTTTATGAGTACTATGCTAAAGGATTATAAACCTTATTGCTAGAGATATAAATTGCCACATGAATATGTAACTTTCTGTTACGCTTTGCACACAAGATTGCACTGTAACGTAGTAAATGTAAGGTGTATTATGCAATGTAGTGAGGTCTTATGATCTGTGCAGAATCTTGCAACAGTGACATATCTATTCCTGAATGCTATTCGGCAGTAGTTAGCCTAATTTCTGTATTCTGTAGTATTGTAAAATCTGTTCTAGTCCAGTGATCGTTGGTAACATGCGGGATTACGCATCAATGGATAAGAACGAGATGGTTGTAGGAGTTAAATATTACGCATTGTAATTCTTAACGGTGACGGATTTTTTATTTTAATGTTGTTCCATACTAGTTTTTTACTGTGTCGTAGGTGCGTTTACAGACATACATCACAGGTACCTAGACCCGAAACAATAATTTGTGGATCACACAAATAGTTGGTCCGTGCGGGAATCGCAACCAATTTGCAGTTAATAATAGCATTCAAACAAAAATATTTTGTTTTCATATAAACCTTCAATCACTCTATCTAGTAAAAAACCGTATCAAAATCAGTTGCGTAGTTTTAAAGATTTTAGCATACATAGGGACAGAGAAAGCGACTTGGTTTTAAACGTCCTATGTTAATGATAATGTATACCTAGTTTTCAGTTTCGCATGACGCTCGTTAGATTTACCGCACGAAATTGAACGACCTACTTCAAGCCAAAAGAAGGTCTATCTTTTTAATATTGGCGGTTTCAGTATATACCCACGTTTACCCAAATCCACCTAGACTCAATACATCGTAAATAGAGCGTGAAGGACACGGAAAAAGGAATGGGGGAGGCCCAAATCGCGTGACTCAGCTTTTGTTAGGAAAAACCCAAGTGCTAGACTAACTCTTTTAGTTATTGAGGGTGCCATGTATTTTTAGAGAGGTTTTAAGAGCTGTTATTTTTAATAGCATTCTGTTATCCTACTAGTATTATAAACGCGAAAGATTTTGACGAATTTGACGATACGTATTTCGTCCATTAGGCAACTAGGGTACGACGGACAGACAGAAACTTGCCAAGTTGACAAATAACGACGACGTTTATATTTTACCCGATTAAATTCTGGTTTGGTAGTGCATCATCATAATCTTCTTATTGAATTTATTGAAAATATCGACATATTCACGTGACATAGTAACTGAGAAAAGCTACTAGTTTCAAGTGACAACGGGACTCTTATTAATCGGCAGCGGGCACGTCGCTTCGACGACACGACTGCCGACTAGATACCGATAATTCACGTCATTATTTTAATAAAATTTATACGTCTCACGATAGTTACTACTCAAAAATTATCTGATTCGCATTATATATGTAAATGGTAACTTGCTTATAGATGAAAAATCACATTTACCAAAAGATAAATAAGAAAGAAACGTATAATTTATACCTAATATTTGCAGCACTACTATTTAAACCTTCCAAAAATGTCCCGAAAAAAATCAACAGTCAAATCGTTTTCGTCTTCCTAGAGGCATTCCGTCATACACATACACGTGGCAAATTGATTTATTTATATAAATAGACTAGGCGAGACAGCTAGGGTTGTTAAACTGTACATTTCGTTGCCCTACAGATAGACAATCGAGAACAAAATTCAATCTACGATTGGAATTGTTATGACTATACCAGTTTACCGCGACAACCTTGGAGAAATGTCAAAGGTCTAAGAAGCGAAAGTTATTTGTAATTTGAATAAGATATTTTAAGTAGCTATAAATACACAAATAAGAAACCTTATTAACTTCGATATTGTTGAGTTAGAAAACGTGGGGTTTCCGTATTAATTTCGGATACTTTGTTAATTTTCTTAAGTAGTTTATGATCGGTACTTAGTTTTAATCCATCGAACAAAAAACCAAGCGAACGCCGGCGTTCGCGCACATATTCTTTTTCTATTGTGTCTCAAATTACTACGATTGAAAGGTTATTGTGTTTTTAACCGACTTCAAAAAAAGGAGGAGGTTCTCAATTCGATTGTATTTTTTTTTTTTTTTTTTTATTTTTTTTTTTTATGTTTGTTACCTCAGAACTCCGTCGTTTATGGACGGATTTGCAAAATTTTTTTTATGATTGAAAGGATATGCTTCCAGATTGGTCCCATTCTTTTCAAAATCGAGTTTTGATGATGGGATCCATGAGAAATCGAGGGAACTCCTCAAATATTATAGGCAACTATATAGTAATTTTAATATTTTCATAGAGCACTCAAGCATTTACAGTCAAAAAGTAATATTTGATGAGGTGGAACTGGTGAAGAAGATCAGAAATGGGTGATGAAACTTGACACTCGCATAGATATCACAATCAAGGTAGTTCAGCAACTATGAAAATGCACTGTAAACCAATGATCTTAAATAATTATGTTGGAAATGTTATCATCGAACTGATTTAATGATGATTATGGAGCTGGAAGGTAGGCACTGGAACTGCGTACCTAATTAATATATCCTAGCCGTGTTTGGGCTTGTTAGAATTGTTATAAGATGCACTTTGGCTGTAAGGTACTATTGAACTGATGTGATGATGAAGCTGGAAGGTTGGCATGGGGCCTAGTATTGTGTAAGCTTATTAGAGCTGTCAAGAGCAATGGAAAGGGCTATGCTCATAGTTTCCGTGCATGTTCGAATCAGAAATGAAGAAATCCGCAGAAGAACCAGCGTCACCGACATAGCCCGAAGAAATGCCAAACTTAAGTGACAGTGGGCACGGGACATTGCTCGTAGAACAGATGGCCGATGGGGCCGAAAGGTTCTAGAGCGGGACCGCACACCTTTGGGGGCGGAGTTTGGCCTAGTATTGGCTATTTTGCATTAGTCCACGTGGACTGCGTTTACACATTAGTGGTGAAATGCGTCATTGTGTTCTTATCGTTTTCCTGGAAATAGGCTAAGAGAATTCATTGGCATTTTTAACAAAACAGTCGTTTTAAATGGGTTACAAAACAATAATTGCGTCGTACAAAACAATAATTGTATTTCTTTTGTGTGCACATATGTAGATAATACTTACTTAAAAAAGGTTCATACATTGAATGAGTCATAAATGTATATTTACAATAGCGATGGTCTTTTGTATTTTTTACCAACTTGTCTATATATGAATGTTCTTAGTAATAACAAAATAGTTATTAAGTGTGGGAGAGGTATTAAGTGTGGGAGAGCCATGCTTCGGCACGAATGGGTCGGCTCGACCGGAGTGATACCACGGCCTCACAGAAAACCGGCGTGAAATAACCTCTGCGTTGTGTTTCGCCGTGTGAGTGAGGTTACCGGAGGCCCAATCCTTCTCCTTTCCCAATCCCACCTCAATCCCTAAATCTCCAAATCCTTATCCCTAAAAGGTCGGCAACGCACTGGTAACTCCTCCGTTGCGAGTGTCCATGGGCGGCGCTGATTGCTTACCATCAGGTAATCCGTCTGCTCGTTTGCCGAGCTATTACATAAAAAAAAAAAAAAAGTATTATTCATTTAATGGGTTACAATTGATACAAAACAATAATTGCATCGGTCTTTTTTCTATGTACGAATGTATTTAATCATAGATACTAAATTAGATTGCATTTGGTATCTTTGAACTTTATCTGTCTGTTGATGAAAATATCTAGTTTTTTGTTATTTGGCGAGAACTTATATGAATTTATGATAAGATTATTATTTTATTTTAACTATAAGTCATAAGTATCTCATGCATCATATCATCTCTCCTCGAGATCAAAACGATTACACGGTAACAATGTACTATGATATGTATTTCTACGTATAAGTATGACATTGGTAACTTTTTCAAAAGAAATGTAGGAACGATATTGACTTCTTTGCCATAACACATTATAATAAAAAAAACACTAAACGGCTACAAATAAAAAAAAATTTTACAAAATAAAAAAACCGCCTTCAAAAAAAGTGAAGCAATAAAAGTTCCTACACTAAAAAGTAAAAAATAACAATTTGAATTACTGTAAAAAAACTTAATTTATAGGTAAACTTATTTGACATTAATATTTTGCAAATATTCAAAATTTATTACTTATTTTTGGAGTCGGTGCCAGCCCATGCAAGGAAATACAAATGGGCAACAATCCCTTGAAAAACTACCTCTTACTTAATTATAAAACTACTTAATACCTATTTGCATACTAAAATATAGGTATATTAATTAAGACATAAATACAGATTAGACTTCTCTACAAAAAATGTCCGATTTACACATTTTTTTAAATAAAAAATATATACTTACAAAAACATTTTAAGTACATTGAAAATGTTTAAGCATTATTTACGAAAAATGGCACCGGATATTAAAAAGCTAACTAACATTAAGTTTCAACATTAAAATGCTGGCACCGACTCCAAAAATAAGTAATAAATTTTGAATATTTGCAAAATATTAATGTCAAATAAGTTTACCTATAAATTAAGTTTTTTTACAGTAATTCAAATTGTTATTTTTTACTTTTTAGTGTAGGAACTTTTATTGCTTCACTTTTTTTGAAGGCGGTTTTTTTATTTTGTAAAATTTTCTTGACAAGAATTGATTTTTTTTAAAGTAAAGCTTTTAATTTGAAATTGGATAATGCCAATCGTGCGAAGCTGGAGTGGACAGCTAATATTATCATAGAAACTGGTCTCATAACAATAGATTCTCGTATTTGGCCTAAAATGCGCAAGCGAGCTTCACGGTACTAAATAAGGGTTCTTGAGCAGCCAAGTGTTTACATTCACATTCCAATGACAGAAGTTTAATACCTTAGCTTGAACCTTGAATTGTGATAGCTTCGTTACTGATCAAAGTTTAAAGTTTTCAAGGAATATTTCCTACACGACAGTGCGCGGTATGCCAAAGTGTACCTTCATATATTCCGCCAACGACGAAATTTATGTAACTAGGGGCAAAATGGATTATCAAACATTAATATCCACCTTACGACATTACAGCTATTTATATTATCCAACAAGAAACAGAAAATAGCCTGATCTAAGGATTGCTATTACTCCATCATCAGCTCAGAAAGTCCATGTTTAAATAATAAGATTGTTATATAAAGAGGGTTTGATACAGTCTACACTTTTTCGAAGTCATGTACACAATAATAGGGCTGAAATCTTCTGTATGGAAAAAAACCCTTATAATAAAATAAAGATTTAAAAAAAAAGTCATGTGACTTCTCCCATTCTGAGTTGGGCGAGAGATAATGTCAGAGATATGATCAGAGGGCCTACCAAGACGTGTTAAAGCGTCAATCTTCCGGCTACTTAGCTATACACATTTTATAGCTCCTTCCCTCTTTCTCGCCCGGAAGATTAACGCTTTAACACATCATGGTAGGCTTTTTTTGTGAGGGGAAATCATCAAGTGACTTCTCCCGCCCAGGGCCGGGCGGGAGGGAGTGTCAGACTCTTACTGACTAAACCCCCCCCCCCTGTTCCTTCTCCTGCTCTGGGCCGAGGTCGCGGTGCCTCATTGCGTTTACTCCGCAACCTATGGGGCCCCGTCTGTGGTGGTCTATTGGCTCTTTGAGGCGCGTGCGGAACACTACGCGCCGTACGCTCGGGTCTGTTTCTGGTGAGGCGGCGAGCTGCCCTTACTCGTCGTCCGCAGACCCGCGCTTACGGTGGCCGGAGATCATTTCACAATGTTTACGCCTGACAGACAAGTTAGAAATAACAGTTTAAAAAGATCAGGTATTTCAATGGTCACTATGACTCATGCCCTGTATGAGATGATACCTTGACAATGGACTTATCCGGAAGCCTTCTGGTAGTAATGACGCCCGCGAGAAGCATATCTATACTAATACTATAAAGCTGAAGAGTTTGTTTGTTTATTTGAGCGCGTTAATCTCCGGAACTACTGGTTCGAATTGAACGGTTATTTTTGTGTTTGTTAGTCTGTTTATCGAGGAAGGCTATAGGCTATAAAACATCACGACAGAACCGACAGAAGCTAGTATAACACCCGGTTTCTGAAAGGCTTGTCAACGCTAAAATTAACTAATCTTTTGTTAAATCTCTTGTCAAGTCATCTGATTGGTTGTTGATAATTCAGTCAACCAATCAGATGACAAGAGATTAAATTGATTTTAACATTGATCGGCCTTTCAGAAACCGGGGATAAGAATCCCACTACTTCGGTACCATGAGAGATTCTTGTCAAGGACAAAGAGATCATCTTATGACCTTTTCGAATGTAACAATAGCATCTTATTGTACTAGTTCGCACACAATGCGGTGTGACAGTAACAAAGGCCTTGTCTGAATATAATGTGGAGCAGCACTTGATTAGCTAGTCTACCTGTTATGTCACTGCCTGGCTACTAGTCCTGAGTTCATAATTAGTGTATATAGTAATACATTGAATATAATAAGAAGTAATACGGTCGCCAAAGTAGAATATTTTTGTTGGTACCTCTCTTTACTTAGGCGTAGTAAAAGCGACAAAGGACTATTAAGTATAAAAAATTGTCACAGACACATCACATCGAAACCGGGAACTACCAATTTGTGTATCACACAAAGTGTTGTTACATGTGGTTATCGAGCCCGTGACATGGTGTACAGTAGCCAGTTGCCTAGCCACTGAGCCAACCGCGTAGTATTTACTATACTGTATATTTGTCAGAAAGAAAAGATAAAACCTGATACTTATAAACTGCAAACTTTGTATAATCCTACCATACGTGGAGATTATGGAAATCGTTTTTATAGAAGATTTATGTGGAAAAGAAGAAAGGAATACAGTCCAGCAGTTGATTTTCATAGCTATTGTTTTAGTTTCTAGTACAGTGTTTTCGATTTTTGAAACGTTTAGCCGGGTATAGGTAGCTCTTATTTCTTACCCTTTTCAAGTGCACTAGTCAACGTATTATATATTGGTTACTTACTTCTCGTTAGAGTCATTTTTTAAACTTCGCTTATACAGCTATCATCTTTAATCTATAAATTTATCTCTTCGTATTCGGTAGGGTGCTTTTTATTAGACCTAAGTCTATTACACATTATTTGTAATACATAGAAACAAACTAATGCTTACTCGGAATGTAGCAAATCGATTCGAAGAATTAGTAATAAACACGCAAACATAATCCTATACAGCAGAACTAACACTTTACCAACCTTATCTATGTATTTCAGTATAAAATTTAGCGAGTCTAGCCTATAACACAGACTTAAACATGTTTCAGGTTGGGAGTGATCCAACAACAATAATATTTTTATAAGTAGAAAGAAAGAGAAAAAAAGTCAGTATCGATGGTATGTATGTACTATCGTGAGACACACAAAATTTATTGAAAATAACGTCTTACGTAAATAAACTGAGAAAAGCTCTACTAGTTTCAAGCCATACCGGGACTCTTATTCACGACAACGCGCGCTTAGCGGTGAAGTACGCACGCGCCAGAGAGTCGGCTGTCGTAGTAAGTTTGCAATGAAAATTACCGATAGCATTTGTTTTAAATACTTCTTTTTAAATACCGTATCCATATCATAACATTCTATAATACACATGTAACCATTTGTTAAAAAGTTCGCTATTGATTATATAGGTACCTACCTTACTATGCCTAGCCGTGTAGTAGCACAAGTTTTCTGACCCAAGGTCAACCGGAGCATTAGTGAGCTTTGCGTAGTGTGCTGAGCCAGTTCACAAACTCGGATACACTTTTATATCAACAAGCTTAATGTGTTGTCATAATGTATAAAACTTTCGTTAGCAAAATTAGGTCAAATGACTGGTTGGCGCGGTGGTTTGGCAACTGGCTGTACTGCACGCAATGTGTCGCGGGTTCGATTCCCGCACGGAACAACTCTTTGTATGATCCACAAATTGTTGTTCCGGGTCTGGGTGTGCTATGTTTGTGAAATTATATGCTTGCAAACGCAATTACGATTAAGACACAGGAGAAGGGCAACGGTTTTTAAAAAGAAGGAAAGAAAAGAAAGGAGAAATGTCGGATAAACGATTTTTTTCCGAATATTTTAACAAGTCCTTGTTGTAGTGGATCCTTTGGTTTGTTTTGTTTATATTAACTTATTGTAAAGTGTATCTATCCGTAAAACGTATATTCCGTGTCTCGGTGCCATCGGTCTCGGTTGTCACATGAAAATCTATGGTCGTTTCGTGTTTATAAAATCAGCCTTAGCGATTTGTAGAGGATATATACTACTCCTCACTGCATAAAATACTGGTATTTAGCCGAATCTGGTAAATGTTTAGATCGTATTAATTTCTTTTTATGTAGGTCAGGAAACGAGCTGACGAATTACCTGATGGCAAAATGTAGAATCCATGCTATTGGCAAGCAATCGGGCGTGTCTATCACGCGTAACACTAGCGGAGTTACGATACCGTTCCCGGCCTTTTGGGGATTTAGGAAGGAGAAGGGAGAAGGCATTAGGGAAGGAGGCAGCGGAAGGATTGCAACCTCCGGTAAAACAACACTTTGGTTGTTTCATGAAAGTTTTCTGTGAGGCTGTGGTATCACTCCGGTTGAACTGAGTCGAGTGAGTGGGTCGGGGAATTTGGTTCCGAAAACGCCAAGGACGTCAAAAGGAGATATCGACAATGTTGTAAGTTTTTTTGCCAAATTGAGACTAACAAGCAGAAACCTGCCGAACTGAACTCACCTCAACAGAAACAAACGAAAGCGAGAAAACTCAAACTAGACTATGAGCCAGTCTACATATCATGATCATGTGCTTTCACGAAACCGTCGATAAGTCGTGAGGTAGGGACAAGGGACTAATCTTCATCTCTACTCGGCTTTCACCACTTACGGGATATTTAGAACTCCATCATACCCGTCAATAATAGGACTATACTTAATAGTAGGACATAACCTTACCATTCTTCACCCTGGAGCGGATAACGGCCAACAATCCCATGCGGTAGACGACATGTTCCAATAAGATGGCCCTGAAACAATTGAAATAAGCTTTAGTTTAAGGAACAATCAAAATCATTCAGTTAAGCACTTCCCTTCATGCTGAACTAGCAACCCGCGTCGGCTTCGCACCGGTGCAAAGCTGATTAAATCACCCACTAATTAATGGATGTTATTTTACATTTTAACCTTCCTCTTCAATCACTCTATCTATTTAAAAATCCTCATCAAAATCCGTTGCGCAGTTTTAAAGATTTAAGCATACATAAGGATATAGGGACAGATAAAGCGACTATGTTTTGTACTATGTAGTGATGGAGCATTTTTTGCCTAGTGGAGATTGTTATATTATAATTCATTGTAACATATTGAAACACTATTATAACACATCTATACTAACATTATAGAGGTAACATTTGTAAGCTTGTATGTAGGGGGTAATCTTTGGAACAGCTGGTCGGATTTCCAAAATTCTTTCACTGATAGATAGCCACAATGTTCCTGAGAGCTATAGGGTATATTTTATTCGTGTACGAGAAGTAGTTCCCTCGGGACTGTGCGAAACAGCTAGTATCAAAATAAACATAACAGCAACGACCATTCAATACTTGTACCAGTTGTACTACGTAAGAAAATAGCAATAAAAAGAAATGCATTCCACAATTTCTATTACGAAAACAATTACGCAATTGTATGACAACTGGGCATAGTTATGTTTGCTAATGCTATCAACTAGAAGCACTACAACCAGTACTAGTCATTATACAAATAAGCAAATACTCACATTGATAAAACATGAAACATTTGCCACCAAGTTAGTATTGATTTTTTACGTCACTTTGTTATCACAGTAATAACAATTAATATAATCTTTTTATGTTCACGGTTTTGTTTGGAAATGGCGATAATCTAATCAGTAGATGGGTTGATACTTGATAGCTATGTATCATCCATTTTTTGAGTGCCAAAATTAGTATAGTTAACTATATCGATACCATAACATCACTTCCTTTTGTTTCCAATGAAATAGAAGGCGATCATTGCTATGTACGCTGGAGAAGTGAAGGGAGATTTTTAGTGAGTAAGACTTTGAAACTCGCTCTTGCTTCACCATGGGCGAGAGAAGACTTTTAATGATTTTTCCATCACAAAAAAGGCGTGTTTCAGCCCACAATACTAGACTCCGAGCAGGCTGAGAATTTAATATAAAAGATATATGCAAATATAATTTTACCACCAAGTATACACCAAATCTCTTGAATGGTAAGGCCATTTGCCGCTACATAGAATATGTGATGAATTACTTTTTATTCTCTGAGAAAATTATTTCATGTTTGTAAAAAAGATCAATGATTATGTAACTGCATTAAAGGGTTCCTAATTTATGTCAATATAGGTCTCTTAAAAACTACTTTAAGTAACTCGCAATAAGAACCACTAGCGAGAGCGCACTGCAATACAGTTGCTTCAAGTCCGTCAGACAAAAGTCTATTGTCAGAAGTGGCGGGATTTCCGGAGTCATAGCACAAGCTTACTTCTCAGTTATCACTACAATGAGCCTTTTATACCATCCAAATATTAGCCTAGCTAAGGTTGCGGGTCAAGCGCAAAGACATACCGATTTTCCAATGCAGCTTCTAATCAGTAAAAGTCTGAAACTCCCTCTCGTCTCACGAGGGACGGGAGAAGGAATTCAATGATTTCCTCCCCTCATATGAGAGCACCTGGATATTTAGTGAGAATTGAATGTTATATATGAACATCTCACAACTATAAGGTATATAAAAAGAGTACAAAAACTGAAGTTCATAAATCTCGTTAGCAATTTATAAACATGCTGCTTATCATTGCTCTTACATAAATGGCTATGTTGTATGGATAACACTAATGGTTAATGGCTGCCACAATACAATTTGGTTGGTAGATTAATTATTGCAGATATTATCTTGGCAGTGTGTGCGCAGGTTTACAGTACCGTAAAATGCTGTGAAGTGTTAAATGATATCCGTATTATGTTGAAGTAGGGCTTGTTTCAGCTCTAGGGATGGAGTACGAACCATAGGAAGGTGCAATAGCAATGTCTAAGTTTAAGGGGACCTTACTGCGATACCAATCAGCTGAAAATCGTAGCCATTATGGAAATATGACGAAACCCCTGAGTAAATAAGGAAGACGTTGGCTATTAATGATTGGACGAAAATATTTGAAATAATTTCTCAATTAAAACAAGTATTGGCGTCCATCCATCTGTAACTAAAATGAATGAATGATCAATGATGGGACGTTCAACCCATACTATTTTTGTATTTCTATTTTTATAATCATCTATTTCCATCTAGCCGTTGACTCAGTGATCGCAAGTGCGACAGTCGACCTAGAAACTCTGGCATTCTTTATACCGAAATTTTTATTTCATGTCATCCATACTATTTGAGATGTTTCATAGACGACCGATTCCAAAACTTAATATTTTAAAAGAGATTACAAAAATCGAAAATGTAATGAGTTTTAGTCAAAGATGTCCTGGGGCAGCCGAAGGGCTAATAGGAACAGAGAAGACCGTTTACATTGTTTATTAGCCAAAACATAATATTATGGGAACACAGTTACAAAGGCTATCTTTTCAGCAGTGGAAACCATATCAAGCCAAAAATAACGCCATGAGCTTCTAGTTTGATGGAATAACGATATCTGCAGGGACAGGAAGCTGTTGGATAGAAAAAAATAGAAAAAGCTCAAGGTCGAGCTCAGACTGCTATTGACGAAACTTACGTCCTGCAGGGCACAAAATCAGCTGATGATGATGATGATGATATGCAATAGATAATAGGTACAAACTAGAACCTATTCAGAATAGAACTGACATTGAAAGCCTACATACAATAGAAGCAGTAGTATGATAACTCTATTTGCAATCGATTAGTAATTAGGTCACGTAGAAAGACACGTAACTAACTATGCAACAAAGCGTTTAAGGTGAATTGCTATACATGTCTAACTCATATTATAAATGTTAAAGATTGTGAGGACGTCTTTATGAACTCATGTGTTTGTTTCATGATACTGGCTTTTGCCAGTTGTGGAATAGTGACTTCCTGCAGATTTTTCTCGAGTTCCAAACTATGTCTATACCAAATTTAACATAAATCGGTTCAGTAGTTTGGGCATGAAGAGAAGACAGACAAACAGACAGAGTTACTTTTGCATTTATGATATTTTATATATTATATGATTATACTAGCTGTTGCCCGCGACTTCGTCTGCGCGGACGCCGTGAAGCACCAAAAATACTATGCCTGCGTCATTTTAAGTGTAGTTTTTTAGTGAGCAACTTTTAAGATCACATTCCCTTGCAGTTGGCGCTGCACTATAACTTCACCTCATGAGTACCTCTCATAGCGCAGGTGAATTTTGAATATGGTTTAATTCCTACATCCCACGAATAACAGAATTTAAAGAAACACAATTATAAAATTTCTCTCTCTAAAATTCGACTGATATCCCCGTACACGCAGCGAATGAGTTCATCTAAGGTGGATACCACTCTACCGAGAGATTCTGGGAGCACCACCTGTCCGCCCCTCTCGTCTGGTAGAGTACCGTCGCCGAGACTTAGAAGGACATCAGAGAATTCTTGAACGCGTGCATTGCCGCCGAGCTGAGCTCTCATATTGATGGTCAAGCGCAGCGTATGAACGCGTGACCATAACGCAGATCGTTTCAACGAAGCATTCACCTCGTTAGCCCTAGATCCCCGCGTTACCACGGGAAGCGTTTGTCGGAAATCACCACTAAACAGAACTGTAACACCGCCCATCAAGTGTTCGTTCCTGCGGATGTCCTGCAGGGTTCTATCCACGGCCTCAACTGCCTTCCTATTCGCCATCGTGCACTCATCCCATACGACCAGAGAGCAATCCTTTAGCACGTGTCCCTTGTTACTGTTGCGTGACACACCACAAACAGGAGTTTCGGTGCTCTCTAAGTCGATGGGAATTTTGAACATGGCATGTGCCGTTTTGCCACCAGGAAGTAGTGTAGCAGCGATTCCCGACGACGCTACAGCAATGGCAATTTTGCCTTGCCTCTTGACCTCTGCAAGTATGCCAGTGGTAACAAATGTTTTTCCTGTTTCACCAGGAGCATCCAAGAAAAACATTTTACCCTGGTTGAGCCCAACGATTTCAAGGACGATGTTGTAAATTTCTTTTTGCTCTGAAGAGAACAAAGCGACGTGGTCATTTCGTATGGTGGTTATTACGGCCGGATCGTAATGTGTCTCAGCGGCATACTCCCGATTTCCACGGTCTTCACGTAATGGTGATTGGGGAGCTGGTAACCCGTATTCAACCAGTGGATTGCCGCCGATAGAAATGACCACGTCTTGAAGTGAACTGAGACAGGTGTTCAACACGCGTCCATCAGTTACTTCGACTTCATCTTCATTAGCACGCTTCAAAGCTCGTAAAAAATCTTCGGACAGACGATGGCGATACTTCTCCCACAAAGTTACCGGGTTCGCGATTCCACAGAACACCAACATGACGGCGAACAGATGATAAACAACGCAGGTAACCCCCGTTTCTATAGGTTGAAGCGGCGACATCGGTACTCATAACATCACTTTTTGTGAACGAAACCATAGCGCGATCTAATTCGACGCCAATACCATCTAGTTAGGAAAATGGAAATATTTTTATATGGTAAACAATAATAATTTCTCAATTACGACTGAATACGTTTTCAACGTGAAAAAAACGTAACCGCATATGAATAAAAAAAAAATGCTAGTTCTTCATCACACCTATGTTTATAATTATACACAAAAATATTGTATGAATTCCGAAGCAACAATTTTACCAATATAAGTCTATGTTTTATTTTATATTTCATTTTTTTTTGTGTCTAGGTTTATGATAGCACGTCCTGTCAAACAACCTGCTTACAAACGTAATTTAAATGTGTATGAGGTAAAACTACATGCTGCTTCAGTAAGGTTTACAGATATAAAGGTTCATTACTCATCCCCCGT